TCTCTCACACACACACACACACACACACACATCCATCCACCCACATTTCCTCCCTCCCTCCATTTTCTCCCTCCATTTTGTACATTTAAATAAGCTTGATGAAGTCCTCGGTCTCTTGTACCTTTCTTCCCTCTTGTACCTTTCTTTGCTCCTTGATCCTCTCTATCCTCCTGCTTGTTTGCAGTCATTTCCGAAGGAAGCAGTCATTCAGAAGCCCCGGATTGATTGATTGATTGCCCAGGGCTAATCCCCAGCTGTAACCAATTAGGGAGGCTTATCTCCTTATCTACTGAAAGAATGGAGCATTTAGAAGTGCCCTGCTGCAACAAAGGAAGTAGGCTTACAATTTGAGCTTTGGCTGCAGAGGGTGGGGGTGGGAGGGAGGGAGGGAGGGGGTAGCCGTCTGCTCATTACCCCAAAATTTTCACTTTTACCCAATTTGGGGTAATGTACCCCTGTTTCCCAACCTATGCCATAGTATGTAAGTACATTCAGTCCCCAGTATATTGTTTTTGGTCACACCACCAGCACATAATCACCTTTAAAGGTCCCCCCCCTCCTTTTTGACATATGGTGGGTCTGGCTGCAATATGCCTGCTGATCTTCTCTCTTACCCCCCTCCCCCCGGACATTGTGCTCTGTCTACAGATAGATTTCCACTCAGGGAATTATGTTTGCTGTTAGAGACGGGCATGAACCACTGGTTTGGCAGTTTGTACCAGTTCATTTTTTTGTCCGAAAAGTGTTTGGCGCTTCCTGGCTCCACCTCCTCCGGTGGGCGCCCACTCAGAGGCAGCTTCCAAATGCCCTTCGGGGGAGGCTGGGAAGTGCCAAACAGCTGTTCAGACAAAAAAAAAACACAACCCCCCTGATTGACAGTTCATACCCACCTCTATTTTCTATTAATATATATACCAATTTGAATTGGTGCCCTCAGGATGTTTGGGGCTTCACTTCCCATCAGTAGGGTCAGTCCTTATGAGTGCTGGGAGTTCTAATCCTGCCTGAAGGACACCAAGTTGACTGGGTCAAGCTCTGGGCCAGATAGAAAAGGCATTGTTCTGGATTTTTGACCACAGAATTTTGATAGCTGGAGGACTCTTTGGCAGTTAAAAAGTGACAGTTGGGTACTGTCAGGTGCGGAGCGGGGGAGAACTAGAGATCTCCATTAAGTTTAAATAGCAGCAGATTGTGCACAGCCAGTTCCTACTGCAAATGCTTGGAAAATACCACATTGTGAAGGAGAAAAAAAGGAGATAAGATTCCCTGTTTCATGTAGAAAGCTGGGCTTCAAGCTTGGCCAGTTTTTCATAGGCCTGTTGTCTCAGTCCACCCCTCAGCCCCTTGTTGGTAGCACACCCCATTCCCTTCTTATGTGACCTGTTGCCAAATCAAGCTGGACCTTACGCCTGGTTTACACCACCATGCTGCCATCTGTCTCCTGTAGCTTTCACCCTTTCACCAGTCTGCCCTCTTGTCTCACTCTGTCAGGGAACCCTTGTGATGAGTTGCGCTTGACGTTCCCTGTACGGGATGGAGTGGTGTTAGAGCCCTTTCGCCTCCAGCACAACTTGGCCGTCAGTAACCATGTCTTCCAGCTCAGGGATTCTGTTTACAAGACTCTGATGCTCGGGTGAGTTCTTCTATACCTGTGGCACTGTGCTTCCTCTGTATGAACCTTAACTGAAAACAAAATGCAGCTCCCTCCCACCTGCAACTAGCATCCTTTGCCTCTATAGTTCCAAGCATCAGCATTTGAAATGTGATCAGCGGCTATAACTCAGCTGTCTGAAACCACTTGTCCTCAAGATGTGCTAGATGGCAAATCCTGTCATCCTCAGCCTTGCTTGCCAGTGTAGGACTACACATCAGAAGGCTGCTGATTAGAAAAAAGATGCAGAGCAAGGCTGTGAGCTTTGTGAATGGTGATGAAAGCAGAATCTGTGGCTGATGTGGGCAACCCAGGTGTTGCTGGGCTGCAACTCTTATCAGGATTTACTAGTGCAGTCCAGAAGTGTATGGAGAATCACCAGTTGTCCAACTCTTATATACTGGGAACAGACAACACAGCTGTTTCTAAGCCTGTGTTGGATCAGGGAAAGCTACTGGATGTAACACAGAAAGTACTGAATAGCTTCAGTTCCTTCTTTGTAGCCATCACACTTGCTAAGATCATGTAGAGTCCTTTTCAATGTACTGACCATTTACTCAGAGGCATATGTATCCAGAGCATGTAGAGAGATATTAATGGAAACTGTTCCATATATCTACAGTAACTCTTTCGGCTGGATGTTTTCCATAGTGTGTGTGTGTGTGCGTGCGTGCGTGCGTGCGTGCGTGCGTGTGTGCGTGCGTGTGTGCGTGCGTGCGCGCTCGCACCAGAAAAAGAGAGAGAGATTTAACAAGTCATCAGTGTGTTTTTGAGAGAGAGAGAGAGAGAGATTTAACAAGTCATCTTCTGATCTGAGTTTCCAGGACAGGTCTGGTGATAAGCTAAAATAAATGGGCAACTTTCACTTTGTGAGAAACAGAAATATTAAAGCCCTGTATGGAGAAAGGGAAAACAGAACTGAGAGTAGAAAGCAGAAATGGGGGTGTCTTAGACATTGTTTTTATAATTGAAAACCATGGAATTTAAAAAAAAATACCAGGGAGAAGAGAAGAGACAATATTGATCAGTAACTGACTGCTTCTGCTTTGGCTGAAGCTATACATGTGTATTTGGATTGTATCTTTCTAGTATTTCAATAATAATCACTACAGGTTGCAATTAAAGATGGACAAGAATTTATTTTCTCTACAAACTTTTCCATTTCTTTACCTTCCAAAACTTACTGTGAAACAAAGCATAGCTTAATTTTGAAATCTGCTCATTTCTGAGGCTTGCTGTATATTTTTAGAGAGTTATAATATACACAAAAGCATGCATAATTTGAAAAACTGCAAACAGCTACACCTATGTGCAGTTGAAAAATTATGCAAACATACTTTGTTTGATAGAAAAAATGCCTGCTAGGAAAAATGAGTACCAAAATATGTAGAAATGTCCATATGGAAGAAAAGTCTGATGACCTGAGCAGAAGAATAGGCCAAATGACATTGGGCAAGAGCACCAATGAGATTATGAAAAACAACAAAAACAAAACTGACAAGACTTTGAAATATTTGAGTGTGAGTTCCCACAACTTGCACTTAATCACGGAGACCCGGACTCAACTAGCATTTGGCAGTGTCAGGATCAAATGTCTTTATAGCAGTTCCTCAGCCTTTGGCCTCTTGATTTGGATGAATCACTTTCTGAGACTTTCCTGCTTTGAAAAGTTGCATGGCCTTTTTAAAACAGGGACTAGAGAACGTTTGGGCTTCTCTGGCCAATACTCTTGATCCATTTTGCCCTTCTCAGGGTGAACTTCAGGAATTGTGTTGTGGTGATTTTAAAAAGGAAATGAAATTATTTCTCCATTCTTTCTAGGCCTGACTTGGAGTTGCAGTTTAAATGCTACCACCACGAGGACCGGCAAATGAACACCAACTGGCCAGCATCAGTCCAAGTCAGTGTGAATGCCACACCTCTGACCATTGAACGGGGAGATAACAAGACATCCCATAAGCCCCTCTACCTAAAGCAAGTGTGCCAGCCTGGCAGAAATACTATCCAGATCACAGTCACTGCTTGCTGTTGCGTAAGTTCCTCCTTGGTTTCTAAGTGGTTGGGAGAGAGCCTTTGCATCCCCAGTTGCAAGAGCCCACTTTTGTTCTACTACAGACAAAGCCTTGATTTAGGTATTCCTTGCAACTGTGCAACTTGTGTTCATTCATCTTTAAATTCTTTCCAAATTTTTCCAAGCACCATTGTGCTTTGCCATGTGTTGTTCAAAGGAAGAAGCAAAACTCCTTTGCTCATCACTGGTGTGAATGCTGTACCAAAATTGAGCACTGACATAAGTCCAATGTATTCTCGAAGGCTTTCACGGTGGGGATCCGATAGTTGTTGCAGATTTTTTCAGGCTATTTGGCCATGTTCTGGAGGTTTTTCTTCCTAGCGTTTCACCAGTCTCTGTGGCCAGCATCTTCAGAGGACAGGAGATAGAACTCTGTCTGTGTTCTAACTCCTGTCCTCTGAAGATGCCGGCCACAGAGACTGCCAGAATGTTAGGAAGAAAAACCTCCAGAACATGGCCAAACAGCCTGAAAAACCTACAACAACCATAAGTCCAATGACTTGCTTTCGATCTAAATTTTTCATATAGCCTAGGGCCTGGACAAATATGTTTTAGAAAACAGTGTTGTGTGTAACTTGTTCCTTTAACAGTAATGAAAACATAAGGAAGATGGTAATTTTGTAATAGTGTAGTGGTGACTTAAGAAAGGAAATGATGATATTTGAGTCAATAGAACTTATGGATGAGTTGACTTAACAAATCCCCATGATTTTCATCAGTGCAACTTACTACACGAGATAACAGGATTTTAAACTGAAAATATTGTTACTGGTTTCATGAAACAAAATGAATGCATTACTTTTTTCATGTTATGTTTTGGGGGCAAAAATGCTTGGGGGGGCATTTAGTGCTTTTTAAAAAATGTATGACATCTTCATAGTTCTCCATTGAAATTTTTGCCAAAATAGCATTAAAAAGTAATGAATTAAATTAACCTGTGTAAGCTTAGTGGCAATGAGTTAATTCTGAGGAGATTAAATGATGAGTTGCTTTTGAAAAGTAAGTTTTAAAGCTCTGATATAACTTCTTATTTTCTATAGTATGTTTTTTACCTGGTTTCCATGAGAGAGCAGCAGGTGAGGTGCTGTTCAGAACACTAGCTCTCCTGCCTTTTAGCAACAGAAAACCTAGCTTCTCAGATTTACTTGTACTTCCCTTAGTTCATTCTGAATTGCCTACCTGTCCGTTTCATAGGATGGCCACAGTTTGTAGTACTATGGGAAAAGAAGGGAGAGTCTTGCCTCTCGAGCTTTCTCCAATCTAACAACCTGTATCTCCATGATGGCTTGGAATAAAGAGAGTTGCAGAATGTTCGTCTTGTTTGCATGATGTCTGTGTGTCATGGACTCTTTCTCGGTTCAGATCACCTCTTTCTTTTCTTCTTTCCAGTCTCACCTCTTTGTTCTGCAGCTGGTTCATAGGCCTTCTGTGCGGTCCGTTTTGCAGGGTTTGATAAAAAAGCGTCTGCTGCCGGCCGAACATTGCATCACCAAAAGTGAGTATGTGCCCATCTCCTTGCCTGCCTGTCTGCCTGCCTGCCTGCCTGTGCGCATTGTGATGGGCTCCAGAGAGCCAGGATTCTTCTTTGTGATTCTTCCAGAGATAACAGGGCCATAGTTAGAAGTGGACAGAGCAATCACAAAATGCTAAGAACAGAAATATTCTGCTACTGTTATGAGAACAGAATATCTGCTATTTTCAGTACCTGTTGAACCCTGTTGGGAAAATTTGGGAGGGACCCATAACTAGCAAATTAAAAAATTAGATGTAAATGTAAAGCATATCCTCAACATCCCAGAATATAGTGCCACCATTTTGTCCCATGGATTAATGTAAAATACCATCAACAGAAAGTGTGGTGAATATATTGAACATGTTGAGATAGGCAAACTACAGTCTGCAGACTTTATGTGTTCCTAGTGATTCACACCATCAGACAACTCCCCTGCCCCCTACTTAACCAGAAGTGGTTGTTAAGGTATATCTTGATTCAATGTCTGCAATTATTTTGAATTTTCAGTGGTGATCAGGCCTCAAAATGAGCCCTTGGATTTACCCCTGGAGTCTCTAAACATACCCTAGTATATGTTCTTTTCCTGTCTGCTTTTCATATCTTGCCCATACTTCTCTCCTACTTCAACCATACCATCAGAGTGTCTTTGTTAGAAAAATGACTGTACCAGTGTCCTGCTGCTGTGACTGAGTGCTGCTTGTTTGTTACATTTCTGCTGCACTTTTCTTGCTGTGAAATCAAAGGCAATGTAGAGAGCTCTTAACTTATCCTCACAACTAACCTGTAGAGTAGGTTAATATGACTGACCCAAGATTGCCCAATGAACTTCATGGCTCAGTGGAGATTTGAACCAAGGACTCCAGTCCAATTTTCTGGCCACTCAACTATACTGGCTTTCTTATCTGTCATTCAGGTGGCATGGCTGGCATTATACCAATTTTGCAGGGCCTCCACAGAATCTATACTCTTACACTACATATCTACATTTTATTAAAATGGTTGTGTTTTATTTTTACTTTTTAATTCTTAACCTCTCTTGAAACCCAAATCAGGACCTCAAGTTGGCATCTATTAAAATAACATGGAACCAAATAATCAACATTTCAAAATGAAAGAACAAGCTTATAAGAACTTATTTATTTATTTATTTATTGGATTTCTATCCTGCCCATCTAGACCAAAGGTCTACTCTGGCCGGTTTTGCAAATTTAAAAACAATAAAACAAAAACCAACTAAGAGCTGGTTTCAGTTTGTTTCACTGGCCAAGATAGGCATGTTACTTAAATACAATTCAGCAAGGTACAGATAACTTTGTAACTGCCTTCAGCAGTTTGTGATACAAGTGTGAGTTTACATTAGTTACTTTTTATTTTTTTTAATACATGTGTTTGTTCTTTTGTCCCCACTACTCTGCCTTTTTCATTTTGCCCTTTCCCTTTTCCTCCTTGTTCTTGTTATTTTTCCAAAAAAGGAGCCCCACAACAAACAATAAAAACAGTTAATAGTGATGGCAACAGTGACAACAACTATAAATACCCCCCCCAAAAGAACTAGGTTTAACATGCAAGCAAATGTAAAATAACAAAAGCAAAGTGTTCTTTGAGGTGCAAATTGTATTTGGAGGGTGCCAACCATGAAAAAGCCCTACTTTTGGTTTTCCAGTTTGATGGTAGTGGAATTTATGTGTGGAACTGAACAATTTTGGGGATTTGTTCCTTTAGGAGTAGACGGATCTCTTATTTGCCTGTGGCTGTGTGTTTAAAGGAGAAGTATGTTGAGAGAAGAAAAACACAGCCACTCAGACTGGCCAAGCCAAAACATTTAGACTCTTGTTATCAGCCTTGACTGGCAGCAGCTCACTAAGAGCACAGAAAGTCATCTTATATTAAGGCAAGCTGTTTGTCCACTGAGCCTGGCATTGGAGTTCAGTGATATCTGGATGGCTACCAGTTCCCCAAGCTTGGTTTCAACCAGTGGTTTCCAAACTGTGCCAATCTGGCTGGAGAATCTGGAAATGGTAATCTAAAAAATTCTGGGAACCAAAGTTAGAAATCACTGCTGAAAACTGTAGTCTAGCATTAAGAGGGTAGGCTGCACCATGTCAGGCTCGTATACTTCTCCTGTCCCTGCTTATTTGCCTGCCATTTCTGTTATGTAGAAATGTATGACACAAATGAAGTAGTGACATCAGTTAATGAGAACATTTTCTCAAGTTGGGTTAGAACCCAGGAAGCAATGATCTGAGCACTAGAAAGGAATGCAAGAGATCCATACTACATGGGTAGTGAGATGGGGACGGAAGAACTGAGAAATACTACCGTTCAGGGGAGGCCTTGTGATCTAGAAAGTGAGAAATCCATTAGTCTTTAGTTTCTCTCTGCCTGCTAACAAACAAACTTGCTGTTTGCAACACTGTCATTTCCCTTCTCACTTCCTAGTCAAGCGAAACTTCAGCAGTGGCACGATCCCTGGGACTCCAGGTCCAAACGGGGAAGATGGGGTAGAGCAGACAGCCATCAAAGTGTCCCTGAAGTGTCCCATCACTTTTAGGAGAATCCAGCTTCCAGCAAGGGGTCATGACTGTCGGCACATACAGGTGAGCTTCTGGCCTTAACCTCATGTCCTGTGTCTCTCCAGAGGTGGAATGACAGTCATATAACATTAAGTCATGCTGTTTGTTTCCTCCTCTCTGCTGCCTCTTATCTCCTGTCCAAAAGTAGAACTGCACCATATCTCAGCCTTCCCCCAACTGGTGCCTTCCACAGTCATTGGATTATGACTCCCATTCTCCCAGAGCAAACATATGGTGGGACTTGCAGTCCAGCAGCTCGGGGAAGATTCTTATATCAGCAGGCAATCTTCATTAGTTAGATTATTAATGAATTAGTGACTTTCTTTCATAGTTGTTGCTAATCTAGATCACTACCTGTGACTGAGCTCTTTGGAAGCAAGCTGCAAATTTGGATGCCTCCTCTCTTCAACTGTGTTTTCCATGTTTTTCTACTCAGTGCTTCGATCTGGAGTCTTACCTCCAGTTGAACTGTGAAAGAGGGACGTGGAGATGTCCTGTTTGCAAGTGAGTATCCATGGTTAGGGCCCTGGTCTTTGCAGAAGGATGTGGAGTTTATTAAATGCAAGAATGGCGCATGTGGTCAAGGGAGTAGCACATGAATTTAAGAAAACAAATCACACTACCCATAGTTTGTCTAATCTGTCCTACTGTTTCTTAGTGGCCAACAGGATGCTAGTGGAGTGCTCACATTGTGGGTCGTTAGCCTGCTCTAAACCTGCCATTTTATTTGCAATAGAAAAAATTACACTGGCCACAGAAATAGAATGCTGGTACCTCCGGATATTCTTCCTTTGTGTGGCCATTCCAAGAAATTCCTGGCTTGTGTGGCTGATAATTTTCTTCTACAAAGAAGTGGCAACAGAAACTAGAGGACTAGCTATCCTTGACTTGATTCTAACCAATAGAGAGGACTTGGTAGAAGAAGTGGCAGTAATGGGAACTCTGGGGGAAGGTGAGCCTATTCTACTTGAGTTGTTGATTTCAAAGGAAATCGAAGCAGAGTGTAGCCACATACATATGCCTGATTTTTAAAAAGCCAATTTTAATAAGTAAGGACCCATACATATGCCTGATTTTTAAAAAGCCAATAAGTAAGGACCCGTGGCAGGAGGTTCTGACAAGAAAAGGAATACAAGAAGGGTAGGAAAAGGGAGTGGCAGGAGATTCTAACAAGAAAAGGAGTACAAGAAGGGTAGGAAAAGGGGAAAAAGCAAATTCAAAAAGCACAACTACAAACAATACCAAGAAGAAGAGTATGTGGGTGCCAAAAAGGCCAGTGTGACTTCCCAAAAAGGTCAGAGAGGGTCTGAAAACAAAAAAGGACACATAAAGAAAGCAGAGACAAGGCCAGGCCACAAAAGAAGAGTACAGAAAAGTAACAAGGAATTGTAGGGATGGCATTCGGAGAGCAAAAGCTAAGAATGAACTAAGGTTGCTAAAAGCAACAAAAAAGCTTTATTCAGGCACATGCATAGCAAAAGAAAAAGAAAGAGCAGCTCAGCTGCTCAATAGAGATGGAAAAATGATAACAGAAGACAAAAAAGGACAGAAGTAAACAATTCATATTTTAGCTCAGCTTTTTCCCAAAGGACAGACTATGGCCTGCTAGACAAATGTGAAGTCCGTGGAAGGGACAGGATTGCAGCTGGAGATAGATAAACAAATAGTCAAGGAATACCTTACCACCTTCAAGATCGCCAGAGCAGGATGAACTGCAACTAAGAGTAGTGAAAGAATTGACTGAATAACTCTCAGAACTGCTGCCCATTATTTTCTTGAAATCATGGGAAATGGGTGAGGTGCCAGAGGATTGGAGGAAGGCTAATATTATTCCTATTTTGAAAAAGCACAAAAAGGAGGAACCTGGGAACTACAGGCCATTCAGCCTGATGTCAATCGCAGGGAAAATCCTGGAGCAAATTATTAAATTGTCTCATCTAGAAAACAGTGCAGTAAAAACTAGACGCCAACACAGATTTGTCAAGAACAAATCCTGTCAGACTAATCTGATCTCATTTTTTGATTGGATAACTTCCTTGATAAAGGGAATGCTATGGACGTAGTGTATCCTGACTACAGCAAAGCTTTTGACAAGGTGCCTCATGACATCCTGATGAGCAAGCTAACTAGATGTGGGCTGGATAGACCAAGTGTCAGGTGGATACACAATGGGCTACAACATCGTACTCAGAGGGTGATGATTAATGGCTCCTTCTCCAATTGGGAGGAGGTAACAAGTGGTGTACTCCAGGGATCAGTCTTGGGCCCAGTGCTCTTCTTGGTGTTTATTAATGACCTGTATCAGGGGATGCTAATTACATTTGTGGATGACAGAAAATTGGGTGGGATAGCTAATATCTTGGAAGATAAACAAAATTCAAAATGATCTAGATAGGTTAGAGCACTGGGCAGAAAACAACAGAATGAAATTTAACAGGGATAAATGCATGGTAGCATGCCTAGAAAATAAAGACCAAACACACAGTTACAAGATGGGGGATACCTGGCTCGTAGCAATACTGTACTACGAGTGAGAAGGATCTTTGAGTCGTTGTAGATCACAAGCTGAATATGAGCCAACTGTGTGATGTGGCTACAAAAAAGGCTAATTCTATTTTAGGCTGCAGTAACAGAAGTATTTTTTCCAAATCCCCCGAGGTGCTAGTTTCCCTCTATTCAGCACTGGTTAGGCCTCACCTTGAGTATTGTGTCCAGCTCTGGACATCACACTTCAGGGAGGATGCTGACAATTGGAACAAGTTCAGACGAGGGCATGGGAATGATCAGGAAACTGGAAACCAAGCCTTATGAGGAAAGACTGACTGAAAGAACTGGGCCTTGAGAAAAGAAGGCTGAGGGGAGATCTGACAGTTCTCGATTATCCCAGAGTGCAGGGCACGCAATAGTGGACTCAAAGGAATCCAGATTTTGCTTGAATATCAGGAAAAATGTCCTAACTCTTAAAGCAGTACATCAGTGAAACCAATTACATCTAGAGATGGTGAGTACTCCAACACTGAAGGCATTCAAGAGGAATTTAAACCTCCTGGCAGATCTGCTTTAATTTGTATTCCTGTATTGAGCGAGGAGTCAGACTCAATGGTGTTATAAGCCCCTTCCAACTTTGTGATTCTATGATTCTATGAAGTTGAATGTTGTCAGAAACATGGAACAATGTGTATTCAATGAGCCTGTTTAATTTCTCTCCCCCCCCCTTCCAACTTCATGATTCTATGATTCTATGAAGTTGAATGTTGTCAGAAACATGGAACAATGTGTATTCAATGAGCCTTTTTAATTTCTCTTCCACCTCCCCTTCTTTGCTTTCTTTTCAGTAAAACAGCTTTATTGGAGGGACTTGAAGTGGATCAGTACATGTTGGGGATTCTTATCTATATCCAAAAGTAAGTCGAGTGATTTCCCTTTCTGTTTACTAATGTGCAAAAAATAACTATTTCGGGTAGAGTGGATGTTAGTACCAGAGGGCAGAGAGGTTATCTGCCCCACCCCAGTAGCCTACTATCCTTTCCTCTGTTAAAACCATGAAGTATAATATACTGAGATATGAGAAGAGTGAGGAGACCCCATGGAACCCATTTTGTAGAATATTATAAAAGTTTTTAAAACATTTTAGTACCAAAACTTAGTATACCCATTTTGTAGAATATTATAAAAGTTTTAAAAACATTTTAGTACCAAAACTTAATATAATAATGGAAGGAGAAAAATATTCCTTCTTCCTGGAGATATTCAATGATTGTTTTAATATTAAAACCTAATAAAAACCCTATGGATATGGAAACTTATAGAGCTATTCTATTAAAACATTTCAGCAGTATTGGCTAAAAGGATTAATAGCTTTATTGTCAAACATATAAAGACTGATCAAAATGGATTTATAAAACGAAGGCCAATGACAAATGTAACAAGAAGTATATGTAATATAATATGTAATGCATTTGATAGCCAAAAATAAAAATAAAGCAGGAATAATGGCACTAGATATTTTAGCCAACACTAAAAAGGCTAGTAGAAAAGCTTGGATTCAGTATACAGTTTAGAGGCATAGTAGAAGTATATTCTGAACATTTTTCCACATTATTAATTATTGGTGGAGAAACTGGGCAAATTTCTCTAGGCTGGGGTAAGTGGCAAGGATGTCCTCTTTCTCTAATTCTAATTGATTTGGTTATACGTAGAACTCTATTAATTATTGGTGGAGAAACTGGGCAAATTTCTCTAGGCTGGGGTAAATGGCAAGGATGTCCTCTTTCTCTAATTCTAATTGATTTGGTTATAGAACTCCTGGTGAATGCTATTAGGGAAGTTGAGCTAATACAGGGCATAGGCCAAAAAGATATGTCTAAGATTAATTTATTTGCTGCACTACATTGCTAACAATAGATAATCCACATAGAGCTATAGATAATATAAAAGCACATTTTGTATTACTTGGGAAATCTACTGGCTTACAAATTAAAAGAATTCTAAAGAATTCTAAAGAAAAAATAAGGGAATTGTTAAAAGGTGAGAAGAGAACATGGATTAATGTGATTCAGCTAGATAACTGGATGAAATAAAAGGGAAAGCATAATGGTAAATGCTGAGAGATAATGAAGTTTGAGGAAATTATAATTCAAGGAGAGAGAAAAAGAACAGCCTACGAGAGGGATGGTGGCTAAGATAAGGCATTGTTAGGGGTTAGAAAATTACCAAGAAGCTCTTAAAATAATATAGAAAACATATTTGGTTATTATAATTCAAGGAGAGAGAAAAAGAACAGACTACGAGAGGGATGGTGGCTAAGATTTATAAAGCATTGTTAGGGGTTAGAAAATTACCAAGAAGCTCTTAAAATAATATAGAAAACATATTTGGTTAAGAAAAAAAGTACCAACATGTGGAATAGTTTATGGAGAAGGAGATCTGGAAGTTTAATCATGGCAACTGGACGTCTTCCTTATTAAACTGAAGCGTTTCGCTACTCATCCAAGTACAGTGGTGCCCCGCTAGATGACAACCTCGCAAAATGACGAATCCACATGACGATGAGGTTTTGCGATTGCTATAGCGATTCGCAAAACAGTGATTCCAATGGGTGATTTTTGCTGGATGATGTTTGGGTCCCTGCTTCGCAAACCGTTTCTCACAAGACAATGATTTTGACACAGATCAGTGCTTCGCAAAACGGGTGTTTTCGGGACCGATGCTTCACAGGACAGCCATTTTAACAGCTGATTGGTGCTTTGCAAAATGGCTTCCCTATGGGTGATCTTCGCAAAACGACAACGATTTTTCTCCATTGGAACACATTAAACGCATTTGGCTAACTAGTTAGTACAGTAATGCTTGTAAGGTGTTCGAGAGGTGAAGTAAGAGAGCTTTGAAAAATTGTTGATTAGGACTAGAATTCCCAGAATCCCTGAGCCAGCAAGAATAGTGCCCATGCTGGCTGAGGGATTCTTGGAATCAAAGTCCAAAGAAATAGGCTATCCCAAGCTCTTATAAGGAATGGGAAATTGTTCCTATTATAGAATGGGTATTAGAAAGAATTTCCTTACAAACTAGAGCAACGTCTTCTTCATCCTCAGTAATTCAACATCGTTAATCTCTGAAGCCAAACCTCAGCTGAGCAGCTACCTCATTCTGAACCAACCATTTTTGGACACTGTTCCTCTACCTCATAGACTTTGGCCCACAAAATATCCAGTCATACCCCCCAGAAGCCTCCAGCAAATGCAGCTGGCCATTTCAGGTCATTCTTGCTTCTGATCGTTCTGAAAAAGAACTCCTGAGCCTAAAATAGTCCCAGTGACACCTGCTTAAGGCTTCTGCAGATGCAGCTGGCTAACCTGAAGTCCAAAATCAGGATTCAGGGACATGACCTGCAAAAGAAGCATTGGAGGCCACTTGCAGCCTATAGACTGTGCTTAGCCCAACCTTGATTTAGAAAATAGGCACTTTTCAAGAAGTTTTCAGGGTTGCTCTATTCCTTTTTCCACCCTTTCCTTAGATCAATATATTTAGTTTTTTTTTCCAGCTGCAGAGTTTCTGGTGCCTTTTTAGTGTCAAACTCTGTTTGGTGTAGGCAGGTCTTCCTAAAACCTAGAACAAACCCAGCTAGTGTGCAAAACGTCTCTTCTGCCATGTGAGGGCCTCATGTTCCCATGTTTTCACTATCAAGAAGAAGAAGAGGACAAACCTGCTGGGCACTCGAGGCAGTGATTTTCTGGCCTTGGTGTTTGAATTTACTGCATTATCTCCCCCCAGCCTCCAGTTCTTTAACACTGCCAAGGATAAACCTTCAGAGAAATACAAAAATGGCCATGCAGTCTCTCAGAGGAATACTAAAGAAGAGGCTTCAATTTACACTTAGCTTGATAACAATACCCTTAGAAGACCTCACTTTCGGGATCTAGATTATTTGGAGGTTATCCCAACACAGAAGAATTTAAAAAGTGTTTAGCCTCCCTTGTCATCCCTTGCCTTCTGTCAGATATCTTGTCTGGTGCACAGAGTTCATAGTTCTGTAAAGCAGCCTTCCTCCAAGAAGGTGGCCTCCAGATTAATGGAGTGAGGATGATGGAAGTTGTTGCCCAGTGAATGTGGAGAGTACAGTATTTGTGTAGGGGAGGCTGTTGTAAAGAGAGGTAGTGAGAGCTTATGACGGAGTTAGGGAACCACTCCCATCGGCTGCAGCCAGCAAGTTCTATACTGAAATATTAAGAAATTTGTAGTTCAGTAGCAGCTGACAACCTTTACATTCCTCATAATCTTTTATGATGATAATCTTTTGCAGAGGAGGGATGATACATTAAAACTAAGGAGACCATGTAGTCTTCATGGTAAGTTATCCTTAGAATATGAGCTATTCCTGTTCCTTTCTCTGCTCAAATTGGCTACAAAACTATGCACTTCGTGGTCCAGGGAATTTTTGCAAGGACCATACATTTCTTGTTGGAGTGGGAACATCATAAGCTCTGTTACAGTAAATCAGACCAATGGCCCATCTAGTTCTATTCAAGGGTTGCCAGCTGTGGCACCTCCAGATGTTTCTGGACTTCACGTTCCAAAATACGTAGCCAGCATAATCAGTGATGAGGGAAATTGCAATCTAACCTCTGGAGGGCCACAGTTGCTCACTCCAGGGCTTCAGGAAGAAGTCTTTCACATCCCTACTTCAGGAGTCAACGTTTGTATGCAAAGCACGAAATATGCTGCTGAACTGTTCTCACTCCCAGCCCCTCTTCCTCTCACCTTCCTCTCTCCTTATCTTCTCACCTAGCTCCGAATACGAAGAGATCACCATTGACCCAACATGCAGCTGGAAGCCGGTGCCCATTAAACCTGACATCCACATCAAGGAAGAGCAGGATGGGCCAGTGCTGAAGCGTTGCCGCACCATGAGTCCCACCCATATGGTGATGCCTAACGTCATGGAGATGATTGCTGCCCTGGGGCCTGGCCCATCACCTTTTGGGCCTCTGCAACCTCCATCTGCTGGCAGCAGTGGCAGTGACTATACTACTCCAAGTGAGTCCGCCTTTAGCCAAAGTGAGCCCCCTTGGGCTAAGGAACAAGGGGAAGGGTTTGATCCTTTGGGGAAACAGTCCTCTCCCCACCAATAAAATAAATACCATGTTTCAGGGATCAATGAGAATTTCCCAGTTCAGGAGAAACGAAACCCCAGCTATGGTGAGTGCTGGCTGAGAGTGGCAGGCCATCACCTCTGGAGGTCCCCACCTTGGGGACACTGGACTACCTCATGTGTCTTTTGCAGCTCCAGAGGGCATTTTATCTGCTTTTTGGTGTTTACTGCCACCCATTGATCAACAGCCATGTCATCTATTTGTGACCAAAAAACCAAATCTCTGCATGCTCATTGCACTGTTCCTGGTATGTGTGTGTGTGTGTGTTTTCATCCTTGTAAGGCAAAGTTTGTAATTGTGTATCTGTATGTGGCAGGATGCACAGTACGTTAAAGCAGTGATCCCCAACCTTTTCAGAACCGTGGACTGGTTGGGGGAGCGGGGTCCGTGGGTGGCATGTGCATGTGTGGATGGGTGTGGTGCATTCGCGGGTGAGGAGCGCACGTGCGCACGTCCACCTTCAAATGCACTTGCTCACCCATTCATGCATGCAAGCGCGCCACACCCACCATGCGGGGGAGCGGGTAATATGTCTCCACAGCCCGGTCCTGCAAAGCCCACGGATCAGCACTGGCCCACGGACCGGGGGGTCAGGGATCGCTGCTTTCAAGAAAACAGAAAGATGTGTTCTTATCCAGAGAAATATCAAATTTGAAGCCAGCAGAAGGGAAGCAACAAAGGAAGATGAATGAAAATGGAGGCAGGGAAAACAGAAGAAGATGTGATTATTTCATTTACATATACAGTATTTTCACATTTTTGGACTGCAGTATTCAGAGGTCTGCCAGAATTGCCCCAGTCAGAATGCTGGCAACTTTAGCCCAAACACAAAGCTCTCTCAGATGTTTTCAGTAACTTATAGCTGCTGCATAAATGAGGGGGGAAATGTGTTTCTGAGCAACTGGACTGTTTTGACAGTTGAGGAACTACCTCAGCAGGGCTGCCAAGCATTAGGGATGCTGTAGTTTCCCTGTTCATTACGTTCTGTACAAGATGCCTCTCAGAAAACTACATACCCTAATGCTTCGCAGCACCCAGAGCTTAGCCTCACCCAACCAGTTCCTCCCTCATTGTATAGCTCGCAGCTCAGAAACAATCTTCTCATTCCTTGTAGTGGCCTCTGTGAATGCACACAAATGGGTTCCTTCTGCACCTGGGTAGGAAGTTTCGGAAGATTCTAGAGCTTAAAAAAGAGTAACAATTAAGATTCCTCCCAGGGCACAAGCTCCGCCTCCTCAACCTTCCCCTCAGTTCCTTTTTTCACGCCGTTTGATTAGGACATGAGGAACAGTAGAGCTTCAATAAGGAAAGTAAATACAGCCTTTCCCACCTAATTTTTATTTTTATTCTAGCTATTTTTTTTTAAAATCGATATTTGTTATTTCCCTTAGTGATTAGAACCCTTTTCCCCTAGATGATATCATTCTTTTCACCTTCCCGCCTTTTTCCCCCACCCCACTCCGGGACTTTTTCCTCTTTCTCCTATGTTTTATGGGGGATTTAAGAGGTGCTCCGTTTGTCTCCGAAAGATCCCATTGACCGACGGACACGACAAATGTCTATTTTGCCTAGGAGAATCCAACCAAACTCAGTTGTGTGCCGCGTGCAAAAGCCTTTTAAACCAGCAATCAAACTTCAGCACCTAAGATCTTTTTTGTACGAATTGATTTTAAATCCTACTATGGAAGTGGAGACCTCTCCTTCATCTAACTCTCCATGGCCAGAGGCAGCCAAACCCACATCTAGCCCAGCTACCCAATCTCTGACTAGCACGACGTTGATACCTACCAAGTCCAAAGAATCATAAAAACCTTCTAAATCGGTCAGCGTCTCTTCTAAGATCCAGTCACGGTGTGATGACTCTCCCCCCTCAAAAAAAAGACTAGGATAAGGCTAAGAAACAAAAGAAGACTACTAAATTGACCGTCATAGTTCCCCCTCCAGCCCCGCTGCCTATGGAGGAGTCTTCCAGAGAAGCGCCTACACTCGCAGACAGAGAGGAACGCACAGTCTCTTCAGATCAGGCACTGCATGTTATTCTTAGCATGTCACCGAGCTCAGGCCAATCTGAGGCTGATGTACCTTCCAGCCTGGCCGTGGCCCACTATAGCCCTCGAACATCAGGGCAGGCAAATATTGGCGTTGAGTCTGAATCAGAGTCTCCTGAACACTCTCCAAGAAAGAGAAGCATAAACATACCTCTCCATACCAACCTCATTGACATGGTGAACACTCCTGCCATGCTGAATGTCCTCCTTATTATGGACACCACTGCTTTGATCAGTACCATCCATATCAGTACCATCACTGTGGATACCATGACGACTACAGAGCATGCAGTTACCCCCCGCTGACGTGGTACTCTCCCACAAGATCTCCTCCAACAACTCATCCTTGACGCCGAGAGGATCTACCTCTCTCTCAAGACAAACCATCTCGAGATCACTGCACCAGCAAAACGATCTAAGCATACTAGGAGCCAGTCAACACAACTGCATCTCAAGATCACTGCACCAGCAAAACGATCTAAGCACACTAGGAGCCAGCCCACGGTCAACACAACTGTCTATTCCAGACCTCATAGACACGATGTCGAACCTCCTTCGATATCTATGCAGCCGAACTGTCTATTCCGGACCTCATAGACACGACGTCGAACCTCCTTCGATATCTATGCAGCCAGATGACGACCTCATACCAAGGGCCCATATAGAGGGACCAGACCATTCACCCTCAATGTCCTCCATGTCCTCCCAGAATGATGGCTTATCCTCAGATGTCTCCACAATCCAGCATCCCGCCGCTCACTCAGATACACTTGTCTCCACAATCCAGCATCCCGCCGCTCGCTCAGATACACTAGATAACCACCCCCTGTCACCTTCAGAGGATTACACATTGTATGCCCAGTTCATACTGCGCATGGCTAAGACCCTGCAGCTTGATACACAACTATCATCTCAACAGGAGAAGGACCTAGTGTTCCACGACTTGGAACAAGATAAGACACCTCCACCTAGCTTGAGCCTCATGCCAGCACTACTTCAACTTGTCAAAGAATCATGGGACAAGCCACCCTCAATGCTGCAGACTCCCTGCAGAGTGGAACACCATTACAAGACGCACGGTATGGATGCCAACTTCTTACTCAAATATCCAATCCCTAACTGAATCGTTGTTGAATCCACACAATATAAGTTGCGCACCAGATCGTCTGTATACATCCCAGAAAATTCTGCATGCTAACCCTTGATACCATTATCCCTCTTCTATCCCAGGGAAACTGGTTCGTGGCCATTGATTTGAAGGATGCCTACTTCCACATAACAATACATCCTACTCATCGAAAATTTCTCAGGTTTCGATTCAAGAACTCGACCTACCAATTCTGTGCCCTATCAACAGACTATCAACAGTTCCCAGAATGTTCACAAAATGTATGGCTCCTATTGTGGCGTACCTTCGGCTCAGAAGGGTTACAGTCTTCTCCTACATCAACAACTGGCTTGTAGTGGCTCTCATCACAACACTGTCGAAGCCACAAAAATCACCATGGACACTTTACAAAGACACAGCTTGAGAATAAACCTCGACAAATCCCAACTAGAACCATCACAGACGATCAACTACATTGGAGCGGAATTGAACTCCGTAGCTGCAACGGCATTTCTGCCTCTACAAAGGATCATAAAGATACACAAAGCTGTGCACCCATTTCAGCCATACAAAACCATATCAGCTCAAAAAGCACAACATCTGCTAGGCCTCATGGCAGCTACAACTGCAGTTGTCATCCACACAAGGCTCAGAATGAGACCACTGCAGGCATGGTTTCTATCCCTGATCAATGCTCTAACAGACCATCAATCGAAATGCCTACTGGTAACCCCAGAATTGGCACACCAACTTACCTGGTGGACATCCATTCGGAACCTGATGGCGGGCAGACCTTTCAAGCCAATACACTTATAGATACAGGTGACCACAGATGAGAGTCCTTCGGGATGGGGAGTGCAATGTCCAGAACTCCAAATACATGGCCTATGGACAAAAAGAGAAAGGGAACTTCATATAGATCAACTGGAGATGTTGGCCATAATAAAGGTGTTCAAGTGGGAAAAGTGCTTCAACTGGTGACAGACAACATCAAAGCAATGCATTACATGAACAAACAGGGAGGCGCACACTCTTTACCCCTACTACACCTCACAATGGAACTTTGGGAATGGTGCCATCTCCACCACATTTTCCCATAGGCTAGCACATCTCAACAGAAGACAACTACTTGGCAGATCGTTTGAGCAAACTGCCCACCCGTATGCACGAATGGACATTAGACAAGTCAGTCTTTCAGGAGATCTGCCACAAGTGGGGCAACTCAACGCTGGACCTCTTTGCGACTCGATACAATACCAAGTGCCCCAGATACTGCTCGAGAGCAGACAGTGATGCGAAGTCCATGGGAGATGCCTTTATGATAGATTGGATGGGAGAACTCCTCTACATCTTTCCACCAATACCGATGATCCAGGGGACAATCATCAGGATCATTCACTATCGAGTGGACGCTATACTAATCACACCGTGGCCCCTCCAACCATGGTTTACTTAATATCGAGTGGACGCTATACTAATCACACCGTGGTGGCCCCTCCAACCATGGTTTACTCGCCTCAGGATGATAACCACAGAAATGCTTCACTTACCGTCAATAACAAACCTTCTGTCCCAGAACACCAGCTCCATAGTCCACCTGGACATACACTCGCTGAATCTGACTGCGTGGAGGATAACCCTGAATTCCTCAGAATTTTAGAAAGGGCTCGAAAACCGTTTACCAGGAAACTATATGAGAATAGGAGATCATTTCTAATTTTTACGGAATCCAAAAGTTTGACTCCAATTCCAGTCTCGCTCATAACAATGCTTACCTTCATCCTCCATCTGTTTGACCTTGGACTGTCCCATTCCACTATCAAGGTTTATATTTCAGCCATAGTGGCTCATCAGCCACCTCATTCTTGGTCTGCTAGACTTTTCTCTCACTCCACTCTCAAAAGATTCATGAAGGGCCTTCAGAACATCAGACCTCTGGCACAACAAATCATTCCCCAATGCTCCCTTCAACTAGTTCTGGAAGTGCTAACCAAGCCTCTATTCAAACCAATGGCCACCTGCAATGAAAAATTACTGTCCCTAAAGACAATATTTTTGGTCGCAATTACATCAGCGAAGAGAGCCGGTGAATTGGCAGCTCTGAGATCTGATCTCTCGTACCTACAACTTCATCCATTACATCAGCAAAGAGAGCCAGTGAATTGGCGGCTCTGAGATCTGATCTCTCATACCTACAACTTCATCCGGACAAGGTAACCTTATACTTTGATGTCTCTTTTTTACCCAAGGTAGTATCTGAATTTCATATGAATCAACCAGTAGTGCTACCGACATTATTCCCTTCTCCGACCACCCCGATCGAGCACAAGCTCCACACACTAGATGTCAAATGAGCTTTGGCTTTCTATCTGGATAGAACGAAACAATTCAGACAATCACCTAGACTGTTCATATGTTATCATGGACCCAACAGAGTTGCTCCAGCACCGGCACAGACTATATCTAGATGGGTAGTTCAAGCTATACAGATAGCCTACAAACTCTCTGGCAAGTCGATACCAGACCATCTGAAAGCACACTCAACCCGGGCAGTCTCAACATCGACTGCACTCGTCGATACCAGACCATCTGAAAGCACACTCGACACCGACTGCACTGCATTGTGGAATCGAGGTACAGAACATCTGTAGGGCAGCTACTTGGTCCAACCCGTTGACGTTTACGAAGCACTATCACCTCGATGTCAGAGTGAAAAATGATGCTGCATTTGGAAAGGCGATCCTGACATCTCTGCTTCCGTGAGGGCCCTCCATCCAGTAAGTGAGCTTGTCAGTCACCCACTTGTGTGCATTCACAGAGGCCACTACGAAGAAAGAAAGGTTACCTACCTGTAACCATGGTTCTTCTAGTGGACCTCTGTGAATTCACACATCCCTCCCTTCCTCCCCCCCATCCGTCACGTTGTCTCTTATTAGACCTGTTCTCCTTGACAACGGCAGACTGCAGGAACTGAGGGGAAGGTTGAGGAGGTGGAGCTTGTGCCGTGGGGGGGGGGATCTTAATTGTTACTCTTTTTTAAGCTCTAGAATCTTTCGAAACATCCTGCGCAGGTGCAGAAGAAACCCATTTGTGTGAATTCACAGAGGTCCACTAGAAAAGAACCATGGTTACAGGTAGGTAACCTTTCTTTTATCCAGCAGCTTTTTGCAAACACCTGAGAGGGTTGTTTTTTTTGTGGAGTTGGGAGGGGAGGGGCTAGAGCCGCCAGAATTCTGCCAGGGGCAATTTCGGCAGATTTCTGGGTCCTCCAGTCCAAAAAAATATGAAAATCTCATCCCTACTTCAGGAACAGTTACAGTAGGGCAGGGGAACATAAGGATGAGAGGCAGGATAGCAGAGCTATTTCAGTCACAGAATAGAAATGTTATACTGCCAGTGATCAATTTCTGCTGGTGATCACGCTGCAGAATGTTCAGTATCAAATACTAATTTGAAAAATATATATATGTGAAAAGGATTCTTTATTTAGTCTACAGGGTCAGTTACGAAGTGGGGTATTGTGCTCAGCCGGCTTGCTAGCTTGAATCCTGCTACCATTTCGGTCATTTTTGACCTCCTCTTGTTCTAGTCCCTGCACTGTTATACGAGGTCTCCTTTCTAATGTTCATCATCATGGCTTTGTTTCTGTTTTCCTTTTCAAACAATTTACTTCTTTTTTGCAGGTTCAAACTTCTCTGGTCCTGGAACTTTCCCAGATTCATTCCCTACTGTCAACCCTGGCACCCCAACATTAAATGAGTTTAACCCAGGACCTCCCCCAATCTCATATCAATCTGACATTCCTAGTAGCCTGCTGAGTCCTGAAAAGCCATCTGCTCCCTCCATCACAGGACAGGTCAGCAAGAGTCTTCTCCTGTAGTGGTGTAGTTGGGAGCGGGGGTGGGGGCAGAAGAAAGCAAGTATTTGTGTATATAAACATTTCCTTCTAGGAGTGCAACTCTGCAGCTGTCCAATACTCTTGGTTTTCTTGGATATACTTGGAACAACTTGCCAGAAGAATTTGGACATTCAAAGTGTGTGAAGTTATAAACCTGGAATTTTTGATTCCTAAAAGTTTTGGTTGAGCTCTAAAATGTAGGAAAAGAGAGGCTGGTTACAGACTATTTACTGTTGGCACACAAGAGAGAAATACGTACATACGTTTCCATGCATTTATGTGTTCATGAAGCCAGTGATCTATTCTTAACTCTGAACAATTCTCGGGACTAGAAGACCTCAGTTTCCAGAGATTCCAAATATGGCATCAATTTTTGCATCCCTCATATAATTTGGCTATGGATTTTGTCCATCCCCCAGCTGAGAAACAGTCTTGGATTTTTGTGACTGCTGATGTTTTGCTTCCAGGAGACATTGTGGCCAATGACACTTAAACAAGAGAGCCAAAGGGATTTCTCACTAGTTGACTTGAATAGTTCACAGCAGATACAAAGCTTTCCTATCACTGTCCACTGGCCCCTAAAAGGAGAAGCTTCAGAGAAATTTCACATGTGCTATACTATCAATTAGAGCTTGGGAAAATTAACTTTTGGGGGCAGCAGCTCCCATAATACCTGGTACTGGGAGATTCTCAGTCTGTGGCAAGGAGGCATTCAGGAATGGGTCAATTCTTTTCTTAGTCCAGTGCAGGTAGGAGGAGTAACAGCTGTGGTCCCCAAGCTCCTGCCTTTGTCCAGAACAGGCCTTGCTCTTTCTTCTTTCTGGCCTTTTATAATTCTCCTTCCTTTAAAACTTCTCATTCTCTCCTTGTTTTCCCTTTTTTAAAAAAGGTCTTCATTCTCTCCTCCCTCATAATCCTATGAGCCTTTCTTGCTGTTGTCTTTCTTTTGGTCTCAATGGGTAAATCTGGCAATTTACTCTCAGAGGGTAAATCTTCTCAAAATCTTCATCATTAAGCATGCTTGCATGGCACTTCATCCCAGCTCCATCAGGAGTGGGCAGCAGGTTCCTCATTCTCTAGATCAGCCATTCTCAACTTTTTTTGGCCACAACTAGAGTTGGGATTATTTGTATTTGAATACGAATATCCCCATCTCAGCTGAACCTAATGAGAGTCCGGCCCCTGGAACCAGCCCATCCATTCACATGTCCCGGCACTGCCAGCGTCTTGCTCTTCCTACCAATTGCAGAACTAGCTCCTCTGTCTCCTTGCTCAGCTGGCCCTCCAGGCAGGGGGCAGGAGAATGAGTCTTCCTGCACGGCTGCTGTGTGGCCAGCCAGGCAAGGTGATGAAGGAGTTACTTCCACGATTGGTGGGAAGAGTGGGACACTGACAGCGCTAGGACATGTGAGTGGATGGGGCAGTTCCAGAAGCTGGACCCACATTAGTGCAGCTGGGATGGGGATATTCGTATAATAATATCCCCATCTTGAGCCATGACCATAATTACAATATGAAAGAAATATAGGCCAAATTGCATAGTGAACCTTGTAAGATAGTGTGTGAAGAATTTTTTCCAGTCTGTGGCCACTTTCAAGTGTGCAAGGGCTTCCAGGGGACCATATGGCGCCCAATAAGAATGGCAGCTCTGGATCACCATGTGGTCCTTGCAGTATTGCCTTCTGCGTTTCGTATCGTTTCGGGTCGCCCACTACTAACACAGGAAGCATAAATAGAAGTGAAGAAATTAACCTAATCCCAGGAGATGCAGCAGAGGCATCCAAAGGGGAAATTGTTTCCCAGTCTTGTGAAAAGGAGTCTTAGCCTCAGGCTCAGTCCCAAAACTCTTTCACACTAGAGGCAAGAAAGGGGTTGAAGCCACCTCTTGTACCTCAGGGTCAGCTGCAAACCTCTTCTGCACTAGCCACGAGGAAGGACTTAGACTCATCATCTCAGGAAACATAGATTACCAGCACCACACAGGAGGTTTGATGGGCCCTGGGAATGGGGAGGAGGCTGGGGCTATTTCCTGTTAAAACAGGGCCCGGCTGTTTTTAATAGACAAGGCCTGCCATTTCTGGATGCTCCCCTACCAGATCTCTCCAGAAAGCACCTCTGCATGCAAGCTGATGGCAACTATTTTGAACTGCTTTATTTTCAGCCTTGTGTGCCTCCAGTGTTTCAGATGCCCACTTTAACGAGGATTTTTTAGTTAACAAAATTAAAGCTGCTGTTCTTGAAGAGATTCAGGACAAATTGCAACCCTGTCAACCTCCTTCTAAGACAGCTTGACATCATATGTAAATGCTTTGAAGCTTTGTCACCTTGCCACTTAGGTGATGGATAATTTAAAAATCCCTATGGTAGACACCCCTTTTGCAACTATGCTCTAATAATAGAATAATCATAGAATGATTGAGTTGAAAGAGCCTATAAGGTAATCAAGTCCAACCCCCTGCTCAATTCAGGAAGCCAAATGAAAGCACATCGGACAGCGGGTTGTCCAATTTTCTTTTGAATACTTCTAGTGTTGGAGCAGTCACCATCTCCCGAGGGAATTGGTTCCATTGTCATACTGCTCTAACAGTTAGGATGTTTTTTTGTTAGCCGAAATCTGACTTCATTTAGCTTGTCCCCATTATTATGTGCCCTGCACTCTGGGATGATTGAGAGCATATCCTGCTACATCGGACAGCGGGTTGTCCAATTTTCTTTTGAATACTTCTAGTGTTGGAGCAGTCACCATCTCCCGAGGGAATTGGTTCCATTGTCATACTGCTCTAACAGTTAGGATGTTTTTTTGTTAGCCGAAATCTGACTTCATTTAGCTTGTCCCCATTATTATGTGCCCTGCACTCTGGGATGATCGAGAGCATATCCTGCGCCTGCTCCTGCTCTGTATGGCAGCCTTTCTATTTTCTGAAAAGGGCTATCATATCTCCCCTCAGTCTTCTTTTCTCAAGGCTAAACCTGCCAATTTCTTTCAGGGCTTTGTTTCCAGTTCCCTGATCATTCTTATTGCCCTTCTCTGAACTTGTTCCAGTTTGTTGCCATCCTTCTTAAAGTGTGGTATCTGGAACTGGACACAGTACTCTAGATAAGACCTAACCAGTGTTGAATAGAGAGGAACTAGTATCTCACAGGATTTGGAAACTGTACATGCATCCTAAAATTGCATTTGCCTTTTTTGCAGTCACATTCACACTATTGGCTCATATTCAGCATTTTATCTACAACAATTCCAGAATCCTTCTCACTTGTAGTATTACTGAACCAAGTTGCCCCGTCTTGTAACTATGCATTTGTTCCCCCCCCCCCAAGGTGTAGAATTTTGCATTTATCCATGTGAAATTTTATTCTCTTATTTCAGCGTAGTGCTCAGGCCTACCAAGATCTTTTTAAAATCTGTTCCATTCCTCCAAGGTACTAGCAATTCCACCCAATTTTGTTGAGTATCTGCCAATTTGATACGTATTCCCTGCACTCCCTCATCCAAGTCATTAATAACAATATTGAAGAGTACCAGGCCCAGGACTGAGCCTTGTGGTGCCGCACTTGTTACCTTCTCCCAGTTTGAGAAGGAGCCAGTGATAAATACTCGCTGAGTATGATTCTGTAACCAACTGTGTTTCCACCTGACACTTGTTCCAGCCAGCACAAACCTTGTTAGCTTGCTAATCAGAATTTCATGAAGCACTTTGTCAAAGGCTTTGCCAAAATCAAGATATATAACATCTATAACATTCCCACCATCTACTAGGGAAGTTACCAGATCAAAAAATTAGATATGATTAGTCTGGCAGGATTTGTTCTTGACAGATCCATGTTGACTTCTAGTTATTACTGCATTGTTTTCAAGGTGCTTACAGAGTAACTGCTTTATAGTCTGCTCCAGAATTTTCCCTAAGATTCATGTCAGGCTCACTAGTCTGTGCTTCCATGGTTCCTCCTTTTTGCTCATTTTGAGAACTGGGACAATGTTAGCCGTCCTCCAGTGATCTGGAACTTCACCCATCCTCCATGAGTTAAAAAAAATAGACAATGGCTCTGCAGTCTCTTCAGCCAGTTCCTCCAATGCTCTTGCATGCAGTTCTACCGGCCCTGGAGATGTGAAGTTCTTCAAGGTACTAAGGTATTCCTTAACTATTTGTTTTTCAGTCCCCAGCTGCAATCCTGTCCCTTCCACTTGAACTTCACATTTGTCTAGCGGGTCATAATCTGTACTTTGGGAAAAGACTACGCAAAAATACGAATTGAATACTTCTGCCTTTTCTTTGTCATCTGTTAGCATTTTCCTATCTCCATTGAGTAGCTGAGCCACTGTTTCTTTTCTCTATCTTTTGCTATGCATGTATCTGAAGAATGTTTTTGTTGCTTTTAGCATTTCTTGCTAACTGCAACTCATTCATCTCTTTTTTTCTTGTAATTTTTTGTAATTTTGTGTTTAGAATTTCCATTTTGAGAAACTCCCACCCATCTTGGACTCCTTTTCCTTTTAGGATTTCCCTCCATGGGACCTTACCTAGCATTGTTTTGAGTTCATTATAATTGGTTTTCCTAAAGTCCAGCGTATACATGTGGCTACATTCTATTTTTTTTCCTTTTGAAATCAAAAACTCAAGTAGAACATGGTCACTTTCCCCTAGAATTCTTCTTGCTGCAACTCCTTCTACCAAGTCATCTATGTTGGTCAGAATCTTGTCAAGGATAGCAAATTCTCTAGTTTCTTCCTCCACTTTTTCTAAGAGAAAATTATCACCCACACAAGACAGGAATTTCTTGGAAAGTCCATATTTGACAGAATTTGCCTCCCAATACATATCAGGATAATTGAAGTCTCTCATTACAATACATTGTGTTTCTTTGAAATTCTTGCAAATTGTTGTTTAAAAGTTTCATCTGCATCTTCTTGGTTAATTAGTAGAAGACTCCAACTGCCATATTCTTTTTGGCTTTTGCCTCACTTATATTAATCCAGATGTTCTCGATGGGACAACCAAGCCCATCCTCCTGTATTTCTATGGAGGGATATGTGTTTTGACATACAGTGCTACTTCATCGCTCTTTCTATACTTTCTGTTCTTTTTGAACAATTTACATCCAATTACTGTATTATAGTCATGGGAATTGTCCCACCAAGTTTCAGTTATCCCTATCAAGTCATACTTAACCTCCTGAACTAGGATTTCCAGTTCTTCCTATTTGTTTCCCGTACTTCTGGCATTTATGTATAGACTCCAGATGTTATGTGATTTGCGGTCTGCTTCATTTATGACATTTTTGTGAAGATTATTCTTGGGCTCCATTTGAGGAGCTCAGTCTGTTTCTCTTTTTGCACATAACCCTTAATCTGTCTTTACCTCAGAGCTTGTGTCTTCCTTCACCTTCCAGTTCAGTTTAAAGCCCTCCTGATGAAGTTCTTCATGCTATGGCCAAACACATTCTTTCTGATCCTTGTGAGGTGCAACCAATCACTTGCCAGCATTCCATCTTCCCGGAAGTGTAGCTTGTGGTCCCAAAATCCAAATCCCTCATGTTGGTATCACTTTCATTCACCAGAATCATTTTCCTTTCCCTTTCTGTTCCTCTTCTGAATACTCAGGACTCCAAAGTCCTTGAGTTTCCTTTTCAGAGCTTCAAAGTCTGGTGTGATTTCTTCATAGCTCCTCTTGGCTGTGTCATTTGTTCCTGTGTGGACAAGAAGAAAGGGATAGGTATCTGTGGGTTTTATGAGCGATGGCAGTCCTTCCATTACATCCCTAGTCTGTCATGTGGGATACTTGCTTCCAAAGAAAGAGTGTCCCTCTTGAGCCCAATGAAAAGTGATCTGATCTAGCCCTTCACAAGATCCACGAGGCATCTTCATTAGTTATTAGAGCTTCTTCTAATTCCTCACCATTTGCTAGGACTTCTATACTTTGGGTGGAGGATTTATTTAAAAAAAAAACAGACCTTGATGCCAAAATACTTCAAAGGTCCCTAGTCCCATAGGCATGCTCTGGTCTTTTGCCAATATTGTTCATGCTACTCCATATTCGCTGACATTTGCTACCAGATCTGTTACTGTGGCCACAGTGGCTCACAGATCCCTGTGGATCAGGCACTGGAGTGCAGATACATCTTCCGAATTCAGTTAGCCTACATGGGGACTCACCTTTTGGGGTCTCATGCCCTCAAAGATGAGCTAGTGGAGACCAAAGATAAAACGAAGGCTATGCCAAATTTACTCAAAAAATATCTTTCTTTATCCAAGTGTTGTACAATTTAAAATTATGGATGTATATGAAAAAAAAGATGATAAAGACAGATCAAAAAGGAGCTTTTCCTTCTTTTGTTACCCACGAGGGTTTTCCCATCTTGAACTTTACACAGAATTCCCTCTCTTCCCTTGACCTACTCAGCCAAGAACCTCTTCTTCACCCAAATCCAGCCTATCTCAGACAAGCTACATGGAGATCATGTAGTCCTCCGTGTTGAATATATATAAATGTAAGACAGTCCTCCGCTGATGTTGTAGGAACCACAGCTCCCACTCTACAGCAGGCATTGCAGTTATTGGAATTACTCTGGGATGGCTTGGATTTGGGTCTTTGCCCTAGTGTGCCACACCTACAAGCATCATCCCTCTCTCTTTTGTCAAGAGAAGGTAGGAAACCACTGAGTGCTCACCCACACCTAAAAAAGATTGTTACGCGCAGCATCCATCATTTCACCACTTGTTACACGCAGCGTTCTTTCATGGGGACTCCCGAGTGGTTCTCAAGGTCCTCATTACCCTTCCCTTTTGAACTCTCACATTCTGTCTCTCTTCAGCTTCTTTCCCTCAAGGTGGCTTTACTTGTTGCTATTACTTTAGTGCATAAAATCTCTGAACTCACTTCTCTGTCTATTGATAAACACTTACATTTCTTTAATCCTGACACTCGTAACACTCTCCTAAATTCCTATGTTCCTAAATCCAACATAGCCTTCCATAGATCTCGGGAGATTATACTTCCTTCTGTCCTAACCTGAATTACCCCTTGGATAAGGAGTGGCACAGACCTGATGCTAGAAGGCCAGTCAAGATTTCTATCAAAAGAACCACCTCCTTCAGAATACATAACTCTCTCTCTTCACCTGTTTCCTTCCCACTACTTTGGGTAAGAAAGAATCCCCACCCTTTTTCTTTTTTGCCAAGTGGAGAAAGGCTTCCTGTTTCTAGCACATGAGCTCTGCCACATCTGACTGTCACCTCACTGCCCCACAAAGATGGCAGCTACTTCTGCAGCCTTCTTGGCCAATGCTCCTGTGCAAGACCTTTGCCAAGCGGCTACTTGGGATCTCCTTTCCACATTCTTAAGACACTTCTTACGATTGCCATACCTCCTTCAGCATGAGCTGCCTGAGGGATCTGATTGAAGAGTCAGTCACCTTCCACACTATAAACTTAGAATTTGCTTGGGTCTGTCTTATTCCTGGATGGCTCCTTCCCACAGGCATTGGGACTGGCTTCTCCATGAATGTCTATTCTAGTCTGCAGAGAAGACATCAAGATCCACCCAGTGGGGACTGACTTTACCTCTGTCTTGATCCACTGGCCCCTTTTACTATCTTTTACTAACACTCATATCAATTTCCTCCTTTCTTTGGCTAGGCTGGGGAAGGGAAACTGAGCAGCTTTTGGAGCATGACTATAAAGTTCTTCTAAATTCATTCTTCCTGCCTAGATTGGACTGAGAAAGGGGTGAACCCATTTTTGGATGTCTCCTCTGCAGACCAGAATGGACTTCCATGGAGATAAGCCAGTGTCCGAGTGGTTTGCCAAAGTTTCTCAAGCTTTGCTCTGTCTTCACTTCAGCAGTTGTGAACTGTACCTCATACCAGACAGTACCAACTGCGATAGTGGATGTGCTAGTGGTTTTTCTCCATCGACACTAAAATGGGAGGTGCATTTCCTATGTGCTCTTTGGTGGGGTGGGAGAAGAAATTAGATAGAAAAGGAAGTGACAGAAAGAGGGAGAAAGAAGAGTGGTCCTGCCCAGCATTGGCATGTGATCCTCTCCCCTGGGAATTTGCCTCCAAGAGAATGATACTGAAACAGTCTAGATGAATAATGTTAACAGAAAAAATTCTTGGGGACAAAGTGTGTGTATGTGTCACTCTATTAAAAAGCAAAAAAGGAGTCTTGTGGCACCTTTGACACTAATAGGTATTTTTTGGAGAGGTTCGTCCTTGGAAATGAAGGACATTTTTTTTCATATAAAAAAAATCAAAGCATCTTAGAGTAAAAAGAGGGGAACACAACAAGGCAGAAAACAAATCCATTACAACCGATAGCCCAGTGAAACTACAGTATTAGCAAACAGGAGCACATTAAAAAAATGCCAGCAGATGGCATTCCATGTTTTAAAGCACTGGTTCTTAACCTTTGTTACTCAGATGTTTTTGGACTGCAACTCCCAGAAGCCTTCACCATCAGCTCTGTTGGCTGGGGTTTCTGGGAGTTGCAGTTCAAAAGCACCTGAGTAACAAAGGTTAAGAACCACTGTTTTAAAGAATATCATTCATGAAGAGCTGAGGCAGTAGGAATAGAGAAAGCTGTTTTAAGGGAAGATCAGATATTGATCCTTCTTGTATGGTACTGTCTGTCATGTTTGGCAACAGCTCTCCTGGAAGAGAATTTTGCTAGCCCTATTTTCAAGTGTCTGCCATTGAGCCCAGACCTTTCGCATGCTCTTAACACTGAGCTACTTGCCCTTCCCTCAAAGCATCTTTACTCATGAAATTACTGTAAACTCTTCATGAATTGTCTAAAGATGAGTGAAGCACAAGACTAGTGGATCATACACAGAGATTTGGTACAATGGCGAAGGGATAACTACATAGAAAGATAGGAAGGTGTCTTACTCTGAATCAGATTGTTAACTCATCTAGCCCAGAATGGGAGCTCTGACCAACAGCAGCACCGTCAGGATTCTTTTATAGCCTGCCTGAAAATCCTTGTATTCCCTAATGGTCACCCATCCAAATATCAACCAGGCCCAATCCTACTTAGCTTCCAAAATTGGATGGGATCAGATATATGTACAGAGTGTAATAGTGATCAGTCAGGTAATTGAGAGGAACAAGGAAATTATTCTTTCTGTCTTGCTTCCTGGTTTCACATGAAGGAGAGAAGTGCCCATTATTTCAAAGTGAGTTAGAGTATCATTCCTATAATTTCCCAGTCAACATGGAAGTTGTTCTCCAAAAAAATTAACTTTTTCAAGCTCTGGGTCCTAAATATTCACTCAACAGGTGCTACACTGACCCATAGTTGCATATGTGCATGAAGAGTGAAAGTCCATTATAAAAGTCCAGTCTAGTGGCTGCATGACCCTTAGGGAAGTTATTTTGGAATACAGTTCCCAGCAGCAATGCTAGCAGAGACACTCTGGGAATTAGTCCAAAAAGTCACTTTCCCTAGCTCTGTTCCCAATGCAGGAACAGACCACACATCATGTCCCTTCACACAACCCCCAAAAGCCAGGAAGTTACATGAACTCCTGTTCCTACTTTTGTGCTTCCTTCAGAATAGATGTTCTCTTTTGCAAGGAGTGTGTAGGTGAAACAATGAATTGTGGGTATGTGCCAGAGAAGGTGGTTCTGAAGTATAAGATGGCCCATGTTCTTTCCTGTGCCTTCTACAGCCAAGCCCTGAGCGTGATCTCCACTGCCATCCCATATTGCTAAATATTTTTCCATTCTTTTTGCTCCATAGATTCCTTCATCAAATAGGATGGCTCCATCCCCACACAATCCTGTCCAGCAGGGACTAAACAATCCCAACCTTGCCAGTCAACCAGGGCAGCAACAGCAGCAGCTCCACCATCGGAACCAACCTCCACCCCAGTCACGGCAGCCCATGATTCAGTCAGGCTCAGGAGGGCAGCTCCATGGAGGGCAGGAACTTGCCTTCAATCCTGGCCCTGGGGTTGCAGGGCCTCCCGGACCGGTGGAAGGGCCTGAGCCTTCCCTTGATGTAAGTAACAAGATGTTTTTTTTTTCCTCATGCCAACTCTTATCATTTTTCCTTAGCGTGCTACAAGCTGTGAACTTTTCCACCTCACCAGGCCATTGCCTTGCTGCAGCCTTCTCCTCTCAGCACACTTTTACCTTGCCTTTTAAGCCCTTAATGGATCACTTGTAGAGCTGCCACCTGTAATGGAGCTCTAAAACAAGCCAGGCAACCTAATGCTTTCCAGGTCAGATTGCAGCTCCCAGAGTCCTGTACCATTTGGTCGTGGTGGTCAGGGCAGAGACCAACAGCAATCCAGAACACTTTAATAGAATCATGACACTCAGTTCTGGTCTAAAAAGTGACAGAATTGTGTGAGGATGTGTTCTTGGCTGTGGTCTGTGTGCAATACACATATGGGTTAATCTTGTGCATGCAGAGATGTCTTGGAATTTTCTAGCTAGAGATCCCTTCCATCTTGTCACTAAAAATTGTCTCTATTTATTTTATTTTTATTTATTTGTTCGATGTATATCCCGCCCATCTGGTATATTCTACCACTCTACTGGCTGCTGCTTTCTTTTTATAGTAGACATCCAGAACAGAGGGTGAGGCGGGAGCCCCATGTATTTATCCCACCAGGTGTGAGAGCATCGCTCCTGCCAAAATGTATTTAGCTTTAGCTTTAGTAGATTCTGAGATGTCTGTGCATGTGCAAGTTGATTTGGGGAAAATATATACGAAAATCTAATTTTCCTCAACTCTAAGGACCATATGGGCATCTTTGCATGACTTCCCATGGGCTGCTCCAAAGGCTCACATTCCAAAGAAGCAAGATGTCTTGAATCCTGCGTCTGCTTCCTCCACTTACCTGTGCTCCCTGTCTCCTTCCACAGGCTGGATTTGTGAATCCACAAGGCCATTTGGGCTGAGCTTCAGAGGCCAACCCTTCTCCCCTTCCATAATCACATCTATGCAGATCTTTTCTATCTCAGGTGTACTGAGATGTTTGGCCACAGCTACTAAAGCATCATTGTCTGCCCTTTTGCATCTCTTTGTGGTCTTGCCTGAGGGTCAGAATTCAAGTTGTCAGACTGTTCAGAGGATCCAGAAACTGGGATGCCAAGCACCCTGGAGGCAAGACAGCTGCTCCTGTCGGTCCTGTGAGGGAGGAGGCGGGGTTTTTCTCTGCCTTGTCCTGCCAGCTGCTGCAGCTGTTGGGCTTCTCTAACTCCTAATGGTCTTAGCCTTGGCACTGGCTTGTTCCCAGTACTGACTCAAAACATTTTGCTGCTTGAGGCAAAGATAAAAGAGCACACACCCCATAATACGTCAGCCAGCGTGATAATTGGCTAATGGTATTGGAATACCAAGAATCAGCCACACCTAAGGACAGCAAGAAACCTGGGGTGGAGGCAGTGCAAGAAAATTACCCAGCATCCATAGTTCTATCTTCCAGCTGCTGTTTCCTCAGAATCCTCTGCCTAAGAGGCAGCCTTTATTCTTCCCACCAGCACTGGATCTTTTCTTTCTGCCCAGGCCCCAAAGCTTCCCCAATCTATTTCATTCATTCATTCATTCATTCATTCATTCATTCATTCATTCATTCATTCATTCATTCATTCATTCATTCATTCATTCATTCATTCATTCTTATTTATTTATTTATTTATTAGATCCATTCATATCCCAATTTCCCTCAAGTAAGGGAATATATTGCTCTCCTTTCTGCTTTTTATTACTTGCAACAACCCTGTATTTTAGGTAGGTCAGACTGAGCGAATCCAATTTTTCAGACAGCAGGAAATATCAGAAATGCAAATACATGTTTTCTTTATTTATATGTACTCCCAATCTTATGAGAATGCAGGTCATAGACAACATGTCAGTGATTTGCTAAGAGAGGAAAGTGACTATAAAGCTGTTATGTACATGAATTAACAGATCCTGGCCAGAGTAATGAATTAGCACTAGACAGTTCCCCTTTGCTTTCTACAGAGGGACAAACAGGACAATCTCTGAAAAAGAATGAAAGGACACCAGTTTAACACCAGGAACACAGAGAAAGTGGTTTCAGAATTCTGCAGTGTCCCAAGACTGTGATGGATCTCAAACTGGCTATTGTCTAATGGCCTGAATAGAAATAAAGGCTTCTTAATGCGCTACATATATCAATAAGCCAGCTTTCTCTAATATCTTGTGCTTATAAAATTGTTAATTATCTAAACTTGTTAACTCTCCCCTCCATCCCCAAAAAAGCTCCTAGCTGACATACAGCTTATTACCTTGGTTGGGACCTTCTAATTCAAATGATTAACAGCCTGGTGGCCCCATTCCTGTGTTAATGAATCCCTGACATTCTTACTAAGCGTATCCTCAGTTTATCAGTTCATCATCATCATCATACATTTATTGGCAAAATAAAATAAAATAATAAATTGGGAACCAGTAAACTAGCTGGTCAAAGTTTATGGAAAAGGATAAATAAACAAGTGGTCTAGTAGTCCAGATAGACAGGGTATAAATCAATCAATTAAATAAATAAATAAACAAACAAACAAGTGTGAAACCAACGATCAAATAAGGCCCAGTTAACTAGATTTGGGTAACATCCTTCTTCTCTGGATAATCAATTTCAAGAAAATTGCCACTTTCTTTGATACATCAGCACTAACATATGAAAGAAGACCTAATTTTCTCCCTCCCTCTTCATAAGGAACCTCTCCAAGAAACCAGAAGGCCCTTATAGAAAGGGCAGTGCAAAATCATTTCTCCCCACCTAATGGAAAAACACAGTTTCTCTCCTTTGTGGAAATTCCTGTAAATGTTCCATATAACATCTTGAAGGGCATAGCATTACTTCTGGCTAATGAAAAGCCTTTCCGAGCATTAGGACTTCTTAAAAAATAGAAATAATCTGCTATATGCTCATATCTAACTGGAAGCTGCCATATATAAAGCCGAACAGATCTTATTGGCAGCACTCAGCAGATCTTGCCTTTCAGTATCTAAAAGTCTGTGTTTAATATAATAATACTCATGCTCAAAATTAAGTGAGTTGATGATGTCGAAGTCCAGACTGATGGCTTTAATTTTCATTCCAAAAACATTCATAACCCTAGAGGGTTCTGCTTCTTGTAAAGGGCGATAGAGCAGACTATCATGATGGAATGTATAGAAAAATTTGAGTCAATACTTTAAAAATCTTAACCAGGCCACTGTCTCCAGCCTGAGTAGTCCTGTCTCTAAACAAAGCATCACAATATGCTACACAACTTGGCAGCCCAAGATGCATTCAGCCAGAATGAGACCCCATAAATGACTAGGGGGATAATTTCAGCTCTATAAACTCAAGAGCTGCTGGGACATATGAATTGCCTCTACTGTAGAAAAAAAAATATGTGATGGTTCGGGTTGTGATCTTAGCATTATTCCCGATTACCCTATGGTGCACAGCCCAAAAAAAAAACTGGTTTGAAATACAGTAGTACTCGTAAATATTGGAATTATTTCACTTGGTTGATTTTGTTTCCATTAATGCTCCATTTGAATTGTTTCCTTGATTTGCCAAAGACCTGGATCTTAGACTTATTACAATTAAGTTGGAGATTGTTCTTTTCTACCCTGTTTCCCCCAAAATAAGACCTAACCTGAAAATAAGCCCTAGTACGACTTCTCAGGATGCTTGTAATATAAGCCCTATCCCAAAAATAAGCCCCAGTTTAGTGAAACTCTGCCTTCCACCATTGTGCAACAACCAGAAGAAGTTGACATGACTGTATTTGAATAAACGTAGATTGTTGTACATGAAAAAAAAACATCCCCTTAAAATAAGCCCTAATGCGTTCTTTGCAGCAAAACCTAATATAAGACCCTGTCTTATTTTGGGGAAAACATGGTAGATATTCCATGCATCTCATCAGCAAACCTTTCAAACCAATACAAGTCCTGAATAAAATAACGCTATCATCTGCAGAAGAGGAACAAAGAGGGATTGCAATTTAGAACTGTGGCAGTCTGTCTCTGCTAAAAAGGGGCTAAATGGTTTTTTAAAAGATTGAATAAAGTAGGTGATAAAATGCATTCCTGTTTAACCCCACAGTTAGTTTAAAAAGGTTCTGACAATTCCCTTCTAAGGGTCACCCTAACCCGGCAGCTTCCTAATTAGTAGGAGTAACCTTCTGTCTTTACCTAAATGCAAGAGTTTGCTCCAGAGGATAGTCCTATCCACTGAATTGAATGCTGTCATCAAATCCAAGAAGGCCACAATTTCAAATTACAGTGGTGCCTCGCTTAACGAGCACACCATTTAACGACGAATCCGCATAGCGACGCATTTTTGCGATTGTTTTTACGATTGCATTGCGATGTTTTCTATGGGCAAACATCGCATTGCGATGATCGGTAAGCGTTTCGCTTACCGATCTTCACATTGCAATGTTTGGGAAACAGCTGATTGGTAGTTTCAGAATGGCCGCCAGAAGAAGAAAATGGCCGCCCGCAGCGTTTTCGCGCCCTGTCCTCGCTTACCAAGGCAGCGAAATGTCGGCCGTATGGGGAATCTTCACTTAACGGTGAGTTTATCCCCCATAGGAACGCATTAAACGGAGTTTAATGCATTCCTATGGGGTTTTCAGTTCCGTTTAGCGATGTTTCCAGATAGCGACGTTTTTCCTGGAATGGATTAACGTCGCTATGCGGGGCACCACTGTAGCTCTATTGACCTGTTTCTCCACAAAATATGATAGTAAGGCCTAGTGATCTAATGTAGATTTCCTCTGTCTGAATCAGTTTTGTTCACATCCAAGAATGGCCTTATCATTAATCCACTTCACAAGATTATTTAATAAATCTTCGGCATATAGCTTGCCAATAATAGACAGTGAACGTACTGGTCTGTAGTTGGCTGGTGAACTAATCTCACTCTTTTTGGAGATTGGAATGATTATGGCTTTTGTGCTGTCTCTGGGCATTATGCCTGTTCTATCCACTGCTGTGAAGAGGTGGGCCAACATCAAGGCCCACCACTCCAATTTATCTTTTAACAGGTTAACTGGAATCACATCAGGGCCTGGACCCTTGGCCTAAAAGTTCTCTAGTCTCCTCAATGTAGACCAGTGGTGTTCCAGGGATGTGACTCGTAAAGAGAGTGAAATCAGTTGAGGGTGTTAAAGACCTATTCCGCTCAGAGAACAAAGAGGAGAAATACTGATATGTGCTGAAATCATTGAGGGATCTCCTTCAGGCCTACAAAAGGAGCCTGACACAATATTCCAGAATTTTTTAGTATTTTTAAGGGATATAGATTGTAACAGTTATACCATTGTTTCTGAATATTACTGTTCCTTTTTACATTAATAAGGCCTTTCAGTCGTTGTTTCAAATGGGAAGTTGGGAGAGGGTTACACTCGTTAGACTCTATATTGTTGGTAAGTTTCTCTGATGTGATCCTTTAGAGCAAGGACCTCCAAACTACGGCCACATCTAGCCTGCCTTGCCTTTTTATCTGGCCCAGGCATAGGAAGAGGAGGGGAGGAGGACCCAAGTGATTCCCCCACCTTTGTGGGGGATCGTTTGGGTCCCCCTTCCCTCCTTCAGCCCTTGAAAATGTGTTAAATACATGATGTGGCCCTCATACTGAAAAGCTTGAAGACCCCTGCGTTAGAGCTTTGCAGTCTCTGTCAAACCAAGTCTGTTTATCGGAGTGCTCTCTGTCATTAGAAAAGCTAGGGAAGTGGCCCAGTTTGGCCACCATATATGTGTATCCTCACCTAGTTATGGAGATATGAATAAATACAGAAGACATGTGTTTGCATCCCTTGTGCCTGAAGAGGTGAATTTTGATCCACAAAACCTTGTAGGGAAATACATCTGTTGGTCTTTAAAGCAGCCAGTCTCAATGGGGGCCATATGGCCCCCTGGGAGCCCCTGGCATATTAGAAAAGGGCCGCAGACTGGAAACAGTCCCTCACAGACCACCTTAGGTGGTTTGCTAGGCGACTTACGCAATCCTGATAAGGCCTATATTTCATATTGTATTTATGGCTTTGGCCAAAAAAATGTTAAGAAGGGCTGCTTTAAAGTGGCATAATATTTTATTTTATTTCTCTCTTTTTTTTCTTCTCCTTTTAATTTTGTCAATATGCTATAACAAACATGGATACTTATTTGGAAATTACATGGGGGAAGGTGATTTTTGAATTAACTAGTCGAGGAGAAAATCTGTAGTGTATAGTTAAGAATGTGGAGCAAGGTTGGTAAGATATGCCGTCCCCCAAGATACTAACTACTGCACTGTGACTCTCTAGATCGCTAGATAGTTGTGGGAGTCCCACATGAAGGGCACATGGCTCTGTCCTGCTCTAGAGTATAATTGCCCCACTCAAAAAATATTTCATAATATAGGGTCAGCATATATTACTCATGTGTAACTCCCATTACTTGCAACAAGTGTAAATGTGTTCCAGCGGTGAGAGTATTGGTAAGGGATTTGAGAAATCTAGATCCTAGTTCCCACTGAGCCATGAAACATGTGGAGTAACATTGGGCCAGTTTCTCTTTCAATACTCACTTGGCCTGTTGTAAGGTTAAATTGGGAAGAAGAAGAAAAAAAGGACATATTTAACTGGGGGAATGTAGGGACATGGTGGTGCTGCGGGTTACACCACAGAAGCCTCTTTGCTGCATGGTTGGAAGACCAGCAGTAGTAAGATTGAATCCACGTGACGGAGTGAGCTCCTGTAGCTTGTGTCAGCTCCTGCCAACCTAACAGTTCAAAAGCATGCAAAAATGCAAGTAGATAAATAGATACCACCATGGTGGAAAGGTAACGGCGTTCCGTGTCTAGTCACACTGGCCACGTGACCACAGAAACTGTCTTCGGACAAATGCTGGCTCTACAGCTTGGAAACGGGGATGAGCACTGTACCCTAGAGCCGGACATGACTGGACTAGATGTCAAGGGGAACCTTTACCTTTACCTAGGGTATAAATGTAAATGATAAATTAACAAATAATATGGTGACCAGGACTGTTATGTTAGGTGAGAAGTATGGTGGAGAGCCCCCTTGGAATTCTCTGTTCTGAAAATGGTCACATTCTGGGCTTTTCACAATGCATAGTATCTCACCATATCTTGCAGAGGCTCGTTTCACTTCTTCCCATTCCCCACACCATTGTTCTAAGGTGTTTTTGATGCCATGTCCATACTTGGAATGCTCTGTGACTCTTAAGAATTAACAATGACCCTCATTCTTTGTCTTTTGCCTTCAGCTTCTTCCTGAGCTGACGAACCCAGATGAGTTGCTCTCCTACTTGGGGCCTCCAGATCTCCCTAATAACAGCAATGATGACCTGCTGTCTTTGTTTGAGAACAACTGAGACCGCCCTAAGAAAACACATTTACTGAGCTCTGCACACCACGTACTCATCTGCACTTCACATGTATACACACAGAGATGCGCGTATACACTTACACAGTCAATCCATACCATAGCATCCCCAGCTGTTATCAAGAGAGAGGCCTTGCCTTGTATAATGACAATGCCCAAGGAGTCTTGCCAATGAGTCTGAACAGTTATAAGGCAACCCAACGAAATTTTGGTCCCCAGTCAGTCATCATGGGTTTTTTGTTTTCTTGAATGGCCTTTTACTGTACAGATGTTCTGTTGCAGACACAAGGGCAGCTTGATTGTAGCTGTCTTAGGGAGCCCTTTGTATACAAGACAGATGGTGGTGATGCTGGTTGCAGTAGCGGGGGGACTGTACCTGAAGAATTAATTTTTTTATTAAGTTGCTCAGACCATGCTAATATGCTAGGTCCAGACAGACAGCAGCTGTACGGTTTCTCCTGATGCTGCCCAGGAGACATTCTGGAAATCTGCAGGAAGATATGGACCCAAACACCTTTATGATATTTTAGCAGAACTGATCATTCTTTCCTCCCTTTCCTCATGCACCTCATTCAGGATCTTCATCTCAGGATGAACTGCAGTACCCAAACAAGTGAAGCCCTAGAAGGAAAGTGGCTGCTCCCTTTGTTTTGACATTTCCCTGTGTTTTTTAAAACCACACAGCGCCAATGAAGAATAGAGATCAAGAAAGAAGTACGTGGAGCTTGCTTGTCCTTGCATGTCACTGGATGTGGAGTCTCTCAGGAGCCTGTCCAAGCTCTTCAAGTCCTGGGGTGGACATGGCAGCTGCTTTTTGTTTTGTTTTTGTTTGTTTTTTGGTCTTATGGCTTCCAGCATCAAGGATGTGCCAGAACAAACCTGAAATCAAGATCAGAAATCTATTCACACTCCCTGATCCAAAGGGTTGGTTCCTGTCTGAAAACCCTGCAAGAAATTGAGCTGGAAATCTCTGCCCCCACTCCTATTCCCTAGTTTCTTCTCCATAGACAACAGCAGCAAAGAAATGCATCTCTGGCTTGAAAGAACATATAGTTCCCTAGACAGAACCTGACACGCTGTCTCCATCACACGATGGATCCATCTACAAGCACAACAATGTATATAATGTAGAAACACTAAAGGAAACAAAATTGAGGGGTGGGGGTGAGAAGGGGAGGGAAGGGAAAGAAATATTTAAAAAAGCAAGTGCATCACTCTGTTGTATAGTCTCAAGGGCATCCCAGCCTTGGGCAAAGGTCCACTGTATAAATGTGCATAAGCTTCCTAGATTGTAATATAGACCATTCCACATGGGGCTGTGTGCACCATCCAGAGAGTCAGTGCATTTAGCCATAGCCAGGAGGGCCTCCCTCATGTGTGACAATTGTGTGTCCCACCAAAGTAGGATCTGGATGCCGAAAACAAACTCATCTTAATCCTAAACCCCAGAAATGAAGTGCAACACGTCAGTCCAAAACAATGTTATGTGTGTTGACTTGCCATTCCCTTCCAGTCCTGCTCAGGAACCTGATGCTGTTGAGGTTGCTTTTGGGATGGTGGCAAAGAGGTCCCAAATATTTCCTCTCTGTGAACAATTGAATCCATTGTTCATGGCCAGGTTTCCTGAGCCAGGGAATCTGTGTGTCCAAGTGCTGACAGCTCTGTTGAGTTTTGTGTATCTTGTTTCATTATTATATTAAAGGATTCTTTTTGGTGGGGCTTGCCAAAGAGCTTGTGTCAAAGACAAATCTGGGGAGTATGGTGGATCTCTTTATCTCCCCACACACACACACACACACCCCCAAACTGATTTTGCGGTGGGTTATGCAGCTTCTCGTTTCCCCCTATTTCAGTTTAAGTGATGAACAATTTAATTCTTGAAGAATACGGCTTATTGTTACCTCAGTCTTATAATCAGCATAAATGTCTTACACTCAAGGAAGGATAAATTACATTTTTTTTTAACCACAACCTTTAAAATCCCTTTAAAAAGCTAACGGGTGGTGGTGATGGTTTCGAGGAACTCAGTCCAAAAGAGCTGACTTCTCCAGAGTCCAATTATAAAATCATGCCAAGGAGCTAAAAATACTTTGGATAGGGCAGGCTTCTTAGTCTGTCTCAATGAAAGAATGTTGTCTTACAACTTCTCTAAAAATGGGAAGAGACAGGGAGAGAGAAATGAGAGGCTAAGTGTGAAGTTACATCATCTTGGTTCAGTGGCAGAGTGCCTTCTTTGCTTGCAGGTTTAATCCCCGGCACCCTGTTGGAAAGGATCAGATGACAGAAGATTTCTGCCAGAGGCCAAGGAGAGCTATTGCCATTCAGAATTACAGTAGTACAGTAGCTAAACAGGCTAAACACCCAATCAGATCTATATTACAAGTTCATATATCTTGAGAGCTTGTGATCCAGGGAGAAATGGCTGAATAATATCCCTAGGACAGTTCATTAAAAAAAAAGGGAGCCAAGTCTTAAGTAAAAATGAACCAGTTTAGCTGAGATCTTAATCCACATTGAATAGAAACAGAGGAATAAAAGTGTAATGTGAAGGGGTGAAATATCAAGTATAAAGAGGCAAAGAATGGAAAGGTATGAGCATATAGGAGAATTTGAGCAGAATTACTCTTGAGGATGGAATGAGCCAACAACCATATTTTTTTGCCCAATGAAACTTCAAAGAACAAAGGACAACAATAGTAAATTAATCTGGCCTACCGAAAGAACTCAGAATCTGCAGAAAGAACTTAAGCTATGAGATGGTGAAGTCACTAAAGATGGCTACAAACTGACTCCCTAGCATTAAAGTTTTTCCCAGAAACGGACAGGAGTATATGTATATGGTATAATATCAACAGACATGGAATGTCCAGTGCAATACATCATAGGGGTTGGGTGTTTCCCAGGAGATTAAAAGAATTTAGCTATGAAGTGCACTAATGCTTCCTAAATTATCCCAGTGCAGTGTGGAAGGACAATCATATAAATACCCCTGTCTCTGGTGATTAGTGTACAGGAAATGGATCACCAAGAGTGATGCAGATAATGAAGAAGCTAGTGAAGAACATAAGAATCTCCTGATTCGGTCAAAGTTGATTATCTGGCCAACAATGGCCAGAAGATGTTGCTTTGGCGCAGTATTATTTTTATCATTAAACCTTGCAGATTCTGTGAGAATTTAATGCCCCTGGCAGGCCATTACTTTCCCAGAGACCTTTACCTGCTTTCTCAACCTTTTGAGTAGGAAGGGCGAGCTTTGAGAGGTCTTTTGGGTGATGACCACTGAGAATTTTATATGACATCCATTACATAGGCTATGAGATTTCTGCTCGTTACAAACATAACAGGTGTATTGATTTCTATCCCATTTTATGTTATCCAAGTTCCAATCACCTGCTTTATTCTTCCGTAGAATCTTGAATTAGTGTTGACTCTTGGCATTCACTTCATGCAATGTTTATCTTTCAATGCCTGTATCAGAGGAGTTTCCACCTAGTCAAGAACCTTACATTATCCCAAGTCAACATATTAGGTGGTCCTCAGTTCGCAGGAGCAGTGGCATTGCTGGAATGTCAATGGTGTCCTCTGCAGGAATGTAACCTGCAAAGTTCCAGACACTAAGCATTCAAAAACAAATCCCACTATTCAGTTTCTTTTGAAAGTTTATTTATTTATTTATTTATTTATTTATTGGACTTATATACCGCCCCATAGCGCTACAAGCACTCTCCGGGCAGTTTACAATTTTTAATTATACAGGCTGCACATTGCCCCCCCAGCAAGCTGGGTACTCATTTTACCGACCTCGGAAGGATGGAAGGCTGAGTCAACCTTGAGCCGGCTACCTGGGATTTGAACCCCAGGTCGTGAGCACAGTTTTAGCTGCAGTAACCACTGCGGCGCAAGGCTCCCCCAGAAAGTTATCTGCATGTTGTCCTTTCACTAGTTTGTAAATTTCTAGTCCATGCACCTAATGAAGCCCTCTTATTTGCAGAATTAGCCCTCTATGTAGGACAAAGCATTTGAAACTGATGCAATTTTTAGTCCTTGTTTCTTTGGATTCTGTCATATGTGAAGATTGGTGAGTTCTCATACACATTCCAGGTAAAGAACATGACATCATTTCTTCCTGCAATCAAGTTTGCCTGAGCTGCTAATACAGCTTTTTCCCCCATCCCTGCATTCTTCCTAGATATGTTGGGCTATAGGTCTGGACATCCCCACTCAGTACAACACATGGTCATGTTGGTTGTACTGGATGGGACTTGGAAGACCAGCGCATCTTGACAACACAGATCTAGTTCATTCCTGTCTTCATTGCTGTGATCTGGCTCAGTATTCCCTTGAAAGAGCAGGTCTGGTTCATTAACCATAGAAATACATGAAACCCTCAGGGTATGAAGCAGTGCCCGAGTAAGGAATTGTTTTCTCATGGTCCCAGCGTTCAGATGCTTCCTACAAACAATGGAGAGTTCCTATCATCAGCTGGCCAGTCTGAAGAATGGAAGAAAATTCCCATCTCTGTTCAATTACATTCCGTTGGAGAGGAAAGCATATAGGTTTGCCAGATCAAGATGTGTCTTTAAGCAATGTCTGTAGCGGCTATGAAAGTAAAAGACCGAAAGAATAGAACCTGTGTAGTTGACACTACCTATCCATTCTGTAGAAACTGCTAGTTTCTCAACTGCCTTCTGCAGAGATGGAGTGCCTCTTTGGGGTGAGTTCACATCTCAGTAATTGACCATTAATTGGGAACACAGGAGTAACATATGTTTCTGTGATATAATTCTGTGTGGGGTTGTTTTTTTAACTTGCCTCATTTATGGGGTATTTATCTGGTTCCAATTTCACCAGCCCTTCCCCAACTTGCATCCTCTATTATCAGTTGGATTACATCTCCCCCACTTCCCCAGTCCTGAACCCTCTGTGCACAGCACAAGAGGAAGTTGAGCACGTTCCATATGTGTTATCTCTGACACATTTTTGGCATCACCTGGCAGGACAAAGTTCCAAATAGAGTAGTCCTGGAACGAGCTGGAATTTATAGCATATATACATTACTGAAACAGCAATGTCTGTGTTGGCTTGGGCACATTGTGAGACTGGCTGATGGTCAGATTCCAAAAGATCTCCTGCATGGAAAATTAGTGCAAGGAAATCGCCCCAGAGGAAGACCACAGCTGCGATACAAGGAGATCTGCAACTGGGATCTGAAGGCCTTAGGAATGGTCCTCAACAGATGGGAAACCTTGACATCTGAGCGTTCAGCCTGGAGACAGGTGGTGCATCATGGCCTCTCCCATTTTGAAGAGACCCTCGTCCAGCAGGCCGAGGCAAAGAGGCAGTCCCAAAACCAGCAAAATCAGAGCTGGAGTGTGGAAGGTATTGTCTCTCGAATTGGCCTTCTCGGCCACATTAGACGCTGTTCCAGGACCTCTATTCAGAGCACGTTACCATAGTTTCTTGAGACTGAAGGATATCTACATCCCCAGACAGGGTTGCTACCTTTACCATGCAGTGTTTCTGGTGAACTCCAGGTTTGAGAAGGCTGCATTTAACCCTGCCTAAATTGTCATCAGGGTAGCTACTACCTGGTGCCATGCACATTAGCCATGAGAAAACGTGCTGGAGAGAAACAAAGATGCAAAGTGGTCCCATTTGCTGAACCTCATGGCGTTAAACAGCCAAAGTGCTGCAAAACCCATTTATACCGATTCAGACACGGGTACGATTTTGTTTCCCTTCTGCTTAAGTTATTTTGCGGGATCTGGAAAAAAAGATGCAACTGTTTAACACTTGGTGTGAAAAGCTTGACTCCATTCACATAGTGATTTTGCAAACAGATGTTAAGATTAAGCCCCAAAATATGCAGCCCTGCATGGCTGGAAATTAGGTTTCCAACAGCTGTTGTTGTGAATAGGCCATGTTTATTAATTAACTTTTCTCTAAAAACCCTCAGGGCACCATATGTGATCATCCTCTCCATTTTTATCCTCACAGGCACCATTAAATAGAATAAACTGACACAATGGCTGAATTCCTGTTGCCCAGTTATGCAAATAGTATAACTTTTAGAAGTGAATTAACGTAAATTAACAAATCCCTGTAGACACGTGTTGCATTCTGAGTTGTGTGACTTGGAGATAATAATTATGGAGAGTTCTTCAACATTTTTGTTAATGATTTGGATAAGAAGGTAGAGGGAATGCTTGCCAGATTTGCAGATGACAAAATTGGGTAGAACAGCTAATGCCTGGAAGACAGAATCAAAAAGATCTTGATTGTACTTTGCTGACAACAGCAGAATGAAATTTAACGGGAATAAGTACAAAGTTCTATACCTGTGAAAAAGTAATAATACCCTGTTTTCCTGAAAATAAGACAGGGTCTTAATTTTTGCACCAAAAAACACATTACGGCTTATTTTCATGGGATGTTTAAATTTTTTCATGTACAACAGTCTCGTCTAGTCATTCAGTCGTGTCCGACTCTTCGTGACCTCATGAACTAGAGCACGCCAGGCCCTCCTATCTTCCACTGCCTCCCGGAGTTGGGTCAAATTCATGTTGATTGCTTCGCAGACACT